CGGTGAAGTTACAGAAGCATCTCCACGTTTTTTGTTTTCACTCTCCTCAGGTGGCGGCACAACAGACGTCGTCGGGTTCGCCGAAAACTGCACAGAGGCAGAACGTTTTTTGCTGCGGTCAGCCTTCGCAAGGGCGCTTCGTGCCGGCACGTTGTCTGCCGGAACACGCACCGAGCGGCGTGATGCGTGTGAGGCGGCAGAGGATACGCCATCGTCAATCGTCACACGCAACTCATCGGGTCCAGTACGCTTTTTACCCGTCTGCGCAAGACGCGAGATGGAGTGACACGTTGGGCAGCGAATGTAGCGACCCGCGTTGTCGCAGTTGACGAGGGCGCACGGCTGGCACACGTAGTGGCGGCAGTCGACGAGGGAGAAGAAGACAAAGACTGGCGCAAACGGGTCTGTAGGCGGCGGCTTTGAATTCTTCCCGCAATAGACGCACAAGTCACGCTCCCTTGAAAAGCCGTATTGACGTGCGGACGCTATTGAAATGTTGTCCGATGTAAGGCCAGCCATTGCTCAAGCGCGCGGAAGTGAGCCTGAAAAAATAAAAAATAAATGACAGTTCACCGTCACCACACGGCACGCCGCAATCAAATTCAAACAAACAAACAAACAAAAAAACGGGGATGAGCCACACAAAAGTTTGATTTTCCCTTTTTTTCTTTTTAAGGTTGCTGTCTTTTCTTTTTGTGTGTGACGTGTTTTGTTTTCCCCGCCCGTTGATTGACTTCTACCGTGTTCCCCCTCCTTCGGTCCCCCTTCTTTTTTTTTTTTTTTCCCTCCGTGTGTGGTGAAGCAGAGAAAAAGAAAAGCGGAGTAAATTGCGGTGCGGAGTGATGCTTCTGCCCAGCAGGAACAAATAATAATAATAATAATAATAAAGGACACAAAAAGCCGTGGGGAAAGGTAAAGGAGAAAAACTTTCTGCTGCTCGATGCACAGAGCGGCGCCATCCGCTGTTCTTTTTTTTTTTTTTTGTTTCTCTTTTTCTTCTTCCCCTCCAGCCACCCTTTAATTCCGTCTAAACACGTCAGTTATCATCATTCATCAACGCCACCTTCCAAGAACAAAAAAAACAAAAAACAAAAAAAAACAAAAACAAACGCACCACCGTCTCTAAAAAAGGAAAAAGACAACTGACAGGAGATCTCATGCGGCTGCCCACGCGGGTGTCCACAACCGAACACGACAATCATCGCCACCGCTCACCACGACGTTACAAAACGGTGCTGCCGCAAATCCACGCTGCATATGATTCGGTACCACCAACGAGTACGATTTATCACTAGAGTAAACACAGTACGAATGGATAGCAAAGAGGGACGTGTCCTGCAATAGCACGTGGCTCTCGTTACAACTAAACGCGGCGTGGATGCTGCGATGGTTGCACTTTCCAGGCTCACCAAATGACATCACCTCTGCCGTGCCGCACCCACCATCCGAACGACGCAAATCCCAGAGTCTGGCAACGGAGTCCATTCCTGCAGAAAGAATAAAATTGCCTGTGCGACTGAACTTCACACTTGTCACAGGCACACTCGAATGGGCATTGTTTACCTTGGCCACCGGACGGCTGCTGACGCCATCGTACACAATCAGCGAACCATCCAGACTACACGAAGCAAGCAACCGTCCATCCAAAGAGAAGTCCACATCACACAGAGCAGCTGTGTGGCTATCATCTGTCCCTCTTCTATAGAAGCCTCCTCTATTCAACATTCCACTCCTGCCTGTAATTATATTGGTAGCCGCCGCATTATTCTCATTACCGGAAACTGTATTGGGTGTCATCAACTTCCATGTGCGTAAATTCAAAAGTCTCGGAGCTGTGTGGTCCGTGGCGTAAAGTATGTATTCACCCGAGGGATGAAAAACGGCCGATCGGATGGGGAATGTATCATGCAGTTTATGTAACACCTTATTATTGGGTTGACTGTAGTCACGCAGGTACAAATCCCCCTCACGTCCGCCTGTCAACAGGAGCGGTCGTGACGGATGGAAGTGCATCGCTTCAACAGACTGAGTGTGTTCGTGGAATCTTCGTGCCTCCGCCAGTTCAGTGATTTTATTGCTCGCGTTACGAACCCCAACGTTTCCACTCCCACCACTGCCGTCCAAACCACGGAACTGATTTTCCTGTCGCACCTCTTCTAGCGCCATCAGGTCTTCCATCGTCTTGAGTGAAAACACAACACACAGCCCGTTGTTTCCACCACAGGCCGCCAGAGAACCATCCGGCGATATATTGACACGACGCACAACCCCGCCTAGTGAAGAGGTCGTAAACCGTTCCCGCATTCGGTATGCCATTTGGCCCACTGTCGAACTCTCCGTGAGGTGCAGCGGCAAATACAACTTGGAGGCACCGAGGTAGCGCTCCACCACCTCATACGTCATGAAGTTCTCCATTTCAGTTATGTTGCTTGCTTCGTGCGCTAGGCCCATCGAGACAAGTTTTGACAATCGCTGGCTGTCTTTTTCTAACCGTGGGACCACAACTCCTGTCGCATCGGCCACCGCCGCGGCTGCCCCCAAGTACCCATCGTGGTGTAACTGCCGGATCATCATTTGGTACAATTGACGGGAAAAATTCTGCCGCAGACACGCCGCACGTGGCCGCTTCCGAATAACTGCGTTGCTGTGATCCACCGTGTTGGTGTGGTGCGGCGTTGCCGTCGCCTCACCTGCCCCATTTTTCCCCTCCGCTTCTCCTGACATTCCCTGCTCCGTGCTGCCCACACATGTGTTCAGAGAGAGAAAAAAAAAAAAAACAGAGAGCAAGCGAAATAAACCACATAGGAAGAATGACAACTACCACATGCACAAAGGCACACATAGACACATATATAGAAAAAAAAAAAACACCATCGTAAAAACACGAAAAAAAAGAGTCAAAAACAATTTGCGTTTCTTTTTAACATTTGCAACTCACTTGGAAGACTTTAACCTCCTTCCACACACACACATTCCCTTCTTAATTCCTCAAAAGAAAAAAAAAAGACGGAGAAAAGATGTCCAACACAAATGACGCGCGCCACACTTCCCGCCCCTCTGAAACTACCAAGCAGGTGCGAATGCAAAAGCGCGCCTGTTTCCCGTCAGACACATTTCCCACGCCATGAATAGTCCATAAGGGATTTGCGTGTATTATCCACCTTGAAGGAAGTTCTCCATTCAATTACCCGCTTCATCGCCAGTCGGGCAGCTCATTAGGCACGGAAAATAGAAAGAGCTCTCACATGCCGCCATTTCAATGTGACACTTCTGTTACATGGCTCTTAGAGAAAAACAAACAAGAAGGAAAAACAAAAAAGCAGGGACAAATTGAATACGCATACATAAATACACATGCTTGGCTTCAAATAAAATGATTAAGCCCGTGGGAGTCAAAACAACAACAACAACAACAACAACAATGAAAAAATTTACGTGTAATGGTGCCATGGTCCTCAGAGATAAAGAAGTTGTAACCGATGGTAAAAGATAATAAACATAACTTGGAACAGGCGTAGTATACATGGTTTGTTTATTTGTCCTCTTCGTTCACAATTTCCCCTTCCCAAAAGAGAAGGAAAAATATGTGACCAATACATCCAAGCAAAATGTCCCTGCGTTGCAATGCAAGTGCTACTTGTGCGACTCGTAAGACGGAGCTGTAGAAAGACCGAGGTGGTGAATCGTCCTCCCGACAAGACCGCTTCCAATCGCCCTAACCAGCAGATGCATGTGCGGGTCCTTTCCAGATGCGTTTGACCTTGCCAAACGGCGGGAGGCTACCCACGCATCGAGAGTGTCTGCAGGCAGACGATTCTTCCCTGGAGCTGGTGTGAAACGTGGCGGAACGGCTGCAGTCCCATCCTTAGAAGCTCTTCGAAAAATATCGGGAGATTTCAGCGACCGTTTCATCATGGGAGAACTACTCTGGGAATGTTCATCCTTCTTCACGACGCCTGCACTCACCGCGAGTGCCATAGGGGTCATGGTGAGAAGAATTGCCGTGCCTTCATTTACCGCGTCCTCGTCAATTATTTGACTTGCCTCAACGTCCAGAGGAAGGACAAGGGGAAATAAAACAAAGCCACGATCGCAAAGAGTATCCACAAGCTTCAACGCTTTTGAAAGTTCCTTTTCGTCCTTTCCACGTGTTGTGGAGGATTTTTGCCCGGTTAAATCCTTCGTTCCAGAGACGGAAGAATTTACCAGTTTATCCTGTCGCTGGTATCCCAAAATGGAAGTCGACATCTGCGTCATCATGTACGGAGTTGGTGAAATCCGCGGCATTTGCGACAAAAGAAGAATTCGCAATTGTTGCCTACGCTTTTCATTGATGTGCTGCAACACAAGTTCGTCTTCAGCAGAACACAATCCCAGATGCAGGAGACTCACGTTGCCTGAAAGAAGCGGCGGTAGAAAAGCCGTTCTCGTCGTGCGTTGACTAGCCGCCTGATTTCTGACCAACGTGGCATCGGCGACCTCTTTTGCCAAAAGTTCTGCAATGTGGTTTCGTGGTTTTGGTATTCCCTCGTCATGAAGTTCAATAAAGTTCATAGAAACCAATAGGAGTCGAGGGACAGAGTAGAAAGATGAAGCGGGAAAGGGCAATCGGATTGCGCGGCAAAATCCACGAGGATTCGGGCGGTATGTCGGCGGGACGCAACCGTATTCCATGAGTAGTGACACCATTGGCCCGCGGGCGTAGTCAAAAGGTGTAAGGCCATGCTTATTCATACGCAACATGCTGCGTAAGAAAACGGCCGGGTGTGATTCATCATCATCCAATGCATCCGCGTCTCCAGTTTTCATTGCTCCGCGCAATTCTGGGGAAAGAGTTTTCTGCGGTAGTTTTGGCATATCCATCAATGCAAAATTTGGTGGCATCGTACTCGGTGGATCATATTGATAGTATGTGAAGTAACACAAGGCGGCCGCTAAAAAATATCGGGTAAGTCGAAGCTGGCCATTCTGCACCAGAATGTGTAGTATCGTGTCTTTATTTTTGCGTGTCGCGTAGTTAAGTGTGATCATTTCGCCGTCACTTGATTCCCAGCAATTCAGAGGTCGGGAGGCCGCCAAGAAGAGTTGTACTGCCGAAGTTGTGAGGGGGGCCCTTTGATCCATAAGGTAAAGCAGGGTATCAATCGTCCGACTCGACGGCCGCGGTGCGTGCAGGAGAAGGGTCGTGTGAAGCGCCCAGTCACACAAATAATACGCAAAGTACCGTGGTGGCGGAGGCGGGGGTGTTGGCTCAAACGGCGTTGCCCCTTGGCGCAGCGACAAGTTGAGGCTTTTTGTCCCTTCCAGCGAGACAGATTTTCTGAGTGTCTTCCGTTGCACGGACGCCGTAGAGAGCGTACTTTCTGTGCCTCGCTGCGCGTGTGATCGTAAAGGAGCCCCATTGTCCGTTGTGCCGTCACTCATTTTCTTTCGCGTAGAAAATGAAGCAGAGGCCGGCGTGTGGGACGCCGCACGATCAATTGATTTTTTTCTTTGTTGCAATGGTACGGGTCGTGCGGCTGCACCAATGCCCCATGTTACCGCCGAAGCCGTTTGTCGTTCGCGAGCCGCCGTCATCACATCCATGTACCTTAGGTTGGTTTCAGTCTTGTCAGCATCGCCCTTTTCCCCTTCCACACCCGGATCAGGCGTCTTTGCATCGAGTGCAAGGATATTCACCACTGCATTCTTGTTTTCCCTTGCCTTCTTGGTATTCCCTTTATTTTCGTTCAAAGCAGCTATTTTATTGGGGGTTTTACGTGCTGCGTGAATGCCAAATGTACTATTCTTTCGATCCCCACGTGTTGGCGGTGATGTTCCACGAATAGAAAAGGTTCTTGTATATGTGTGTTGGGTTTCCGGGGCCGCCTCGTCCGCCACTCCCGCATCTTCCGAAAGCCCAGTATTGGGGTCAATGCGTTCATACTGCTCAGCACTCAAGAGTGCAGCCGCGTCGGGAACATCAGAAATAGCTTTCAATACATTCATACTGCCTGCGGCAATAGCAATCACATCAATGTGATACTTTTCCATTAAGTAACGCCATTCATGTTTGACACAGGCTTGTAGCTCTGCTGGAGACAAGCTCATGAGATCCATCAGCATAGCAGAGTTATCGAAGCGGACGGCCAATTCAATTAACTCATGAAAATGATTCGACATGATTGTAAGCACGTGACGCTGAGAACTTGGAATTGCCCCACCACCATGAGCCGCCGCAATGGCAGATGGTGGTGACACCACACAAACCGCTGCTGCTGCAAGCTGACGAACGTATTGTCTTGTCTTTTTTACAATAAATCCCCAGTTGTAGCTGGGAGATGTCTCTGTCTTTTCATTTTTCACCGGTGAAGACGTTCCAATATTGGTAAAACTAAGAGGGGATTGCGTTTCTGGGGATAAAATATCGGACGCTGAACTCATTGGCAGCAACGGAGTGGATTTAATCAAATAGATTGGAATGGCCGAGGCGGCGGGAAGCAGCACACTCAAAAGCGAGGTCCACTCTGCTGGCGTCACAGTCACCTCCTCAAGTCGGCCCACAAACTGGGCATAAAGAACATTGGACCAGAAAGCATTGATGGCTTCTGGCTGCATGAGAATATGCTTCACGTCGTTTGCGTAAAGCACTGCAACTCGTAGAGCCACGATGGGATGTAGGTTGGAGTAAACCATCGAAAGGAATGAAAACTTTGTGGGCGCCGCTGGAAGATGTCTGAGAATGGCAAGGAGCAAATCCATTTCTTCTTCCGCGTAGTAGAGACGTGTAGCGAGTATAACCCAACAGGAGGAGGCCTCCAAATTTCTTACGAGATCTTCATTTATTGCACACCTGTCGGAGCTTGCATTGGCCGTATTTAAACGACTGATAGAGCCAAATTCCTCCTCCCCGCCATTCCGCGCACCCGCACCACCCGCGGTCCGTGAAACCCGCTGCTGCACTATTAGTGAGACAATATTGGTGTAGCTTAACCGTGCGGCCAATGACAACGCGGTTTGCCCATCCCTGTCCTCATAGTACAAATTATCAAAGCGAAATTTTCGCAGCAATCGTTCCACGACCAATAATAGGCGACGAACACCAGGGATGGTGATTGGGTCACGGTACGGCGCGGGATCTTTTTCGGAAGCCCGTGTACTCACATCCACATCCAACGAAAAACAACGCGTGGAAAAGAAAAGCTCCCCCAAGCTTGCGTTTCCCTGAAAAAAGGCATGACTGCCGCACTCCACTGAGTAGATGTGGACCGCCCTGCGCAGGAGGAAAATCAGCAGAGTATCACCCGTCACAGGGTGAATAAAGGAGGGAGAAAGAACATATGAGTACTGTTCCAGCAGTGCGATGAGACTCTGCGGGTTATATTCAGCACACAGAAAGACCAGTTGGGTGTAGTATACCCTTTTCTTTAGGCTCATGCGTGGGAATTCGAGAGCACCTTCCAATGTAAAAGGGGATTCCATCCAAGAAGATGTCGCAGTTGCTTCAACAAATGGGATTGCAAGTGGAAACTTCAGGCCTTCTTTGGCATCCGGCGAAATCGTTGTCCACATGCCGCTGTTGCTTTCTCCTCGTTGCACTGAGTCACGTTTCATGAATAGCGAACTTTGGCTTGTGACTTCCTGCGAGCTTTCCTCCTCCACTTCATCGTCTTCTTCCTCTTCACCGAGCGGTACCTGCTCATCCAAAAAGATTTGAAGCTTCGTGCCTTTTCCAGGACACGCAC